ACCTTAAAAAAAAGACCAATGATTTTCATTAAGCTGCAATTGAAAACTCAGGAAACACAAATTAACAAAGACTAGTAACAAAAAAATTGATTTAAGACAAAAATTGATGGGCAAAAAAAAAGAGCAGCGAACAAAAAAAAAATCGGCCCATCCGACAAATCAAATTTACTCAAAATTGAAAACCATTTATGACTCAACCTTTGTGGGTCGGTTGATGGTTGACAATCAAATACTTGCTTATGAAATGGATCGGTTGATGGGTATACCCATCACCTAGTTCACTTTTTTTAGTGTTTTTTGTTTGTTTTTTTTTTTTTACGTCCGCCGCTAAACGTTGGCCGTAATTGTGTTGTCACTGACAGTAAATTAACGTAATTATACTGTCAATGACTGTAAATTAACGTAATTGTACTGCCGTTCACAATACATTTATGTAATTGTGTTGCCGTTGACAATAAATTAATGTAATATTATTATTATTTTTTTTTTGTTTTTTGTTTGATTTGTCGATTAGTCAACGTAATTATATTACTGTTGTTGACACTAAAATAACTGTAAACACAATAATATTACTGTCAACAACATCAATATTATTATTTTTTTTGGTTTTTTGTTTTGTTTGAGTTATTCACGGAGTAACGTAATAATATTATTGTCTATTATTGTAATATTACTGTAAACACAATAATATTATTGTGGTTGACGGTAATATTACTGTTGTTATAGTATATATTGCTGTCAACCACATCAATATTATTATTTTGTTTGGATTTTTTGTTTGTTTGTGTTATTCATGGAGTAACGTAATAATATTAATTTCTATTATTGTAATATTACTGTGGTTGACGGTAATATAACTGTTGTTATAGTAATATTACTGTCACTCACAGTAATATTAATTATTTTGGGTTTTTATTATGTTTACATTTGTTGAACGTCAACATAGTAATATTACTCTATTACACAATAATAATGAGTTTTTTTGTGTTAATATTACTGTGCTAGAGATTAATATAACAATATTATTGTGTTAAACTGTAGTTTAGTTTAATTTTACTGTGTTTAACAATAATATAGTTAATATTACTGTCAATCACAGCAATACTGTTGTTTAAACGAAAAAAAAGGTTACAGAAAGAAAGAAAGAAAAGAAAAGAAAAGAATTTTTTTTTTTTAAAAGTCAACGCCGGAATCCGGCAGGGAAAAAAAAGTTTTTGAAAAAAAAAGTTTTGGATCAAAATTGAATAATTTGTGAAATTTGGGGTCAAATTGAGGTTAAATAAACTTAAGGATGAAATTGAAGCATATTAAAGTATGAGGGGTTATTTTAGTTTTTTACAAAAATCTGGACCATGCGTGGACTTATTGGTAAAGAAGTTTTTTATCTTGAATTTGATCTCTTTATAAATAAGTACCCATTGATGGACTTATTTGTAAAGACCACTATTTTATCAGGGTGGTTTATTTTGATGCGGAAATTAAATTCCAACAAAAATATACGTTCAAAACTTGATTCAGTTTATCAACAAACCGAACGCAAACAATCTTATATTCATTAATACTGAACTGAAATGATTTTTTAATAACGATCTAAATCATACAAAAATACCAGATGATGATTCAACGAGTAATTCAAAGATCTTCCAACCTCGAATTAATACAACTAAAACTGAAAACAATTAACAAAGATTGTAACTGCTACATGGTCATGACTTGATGTTCTCATCATCCCATGAAGAATGTACATTAAGAACTAATGGAGATCTGTAATAATATTCACTGTCCATATCCAATTTCAACCTCTTTGCACAAGCTACAACCACAGGGTTGCAATCAACCACTTCAACTTTTTTAAGACATTTATTAAACCCCTCCGGGATCGGGATCTCTACTAATCGATAACAATGTCTTATGCTAAGCTTCTTAAGCCTTTGAAAGAAGCCACGATTTCCGACCGTCCATTGCACCAGATCAGTGTCTTCAATCAGAAGATACTCGAGGCACGAAAATTCGTTTTCGTGAACTTCCCACTTCGGGCCTCGAAAAGCGTAGCATCTTAATTTTAACATAACAAGATTCGGCAACGATGAAGCAATCTTGCTCATTTCTTCCCACTGATACCCTAAGCCGCTCAAAGTTAACTTTTCAAGACTCGATGAGAAGATTGAAAGAGGAGCAATAACAAACTCGGACATGATTCTAGGATTTACGACAACGCATTTAAGTCCTGATAAATTTCGGAGATTGGAAATATGATCAAATATGCACAAGGGCTCGACATTATCAAGAGCTAACTCGATTCGAATTCCTAATTTAAGTAGATTAGGGATTCTTGAAAGAACATCTCTAGTACAACTTTGAGCACTCACATCTAAGAGCGTTAGCAGGTTTGGTAAGAAAGATCCTTCACAAGGATATGGTAGATCGCATCCGGTGACCTTAAGATGCTTTAATTTTTCCATATTCCATATTTCCCTCGGCATGAATTGAATATTCTCGACATGTTTTATGATTCTTAGATGCCGTTCGACAATCAAGTACTCGAGGTTCCAAAGTTTGGATATCAGAGAAGGGAGCTTTCCGTCATAAGTGAGAGTAAGGTACCTTAGCTGAAGTAGTTTCACTACTTCCATTGGGAATTCATAGAAGCGAACTGTGAGAGCATCAAGTATCCTGAGCAAACTCAAATATTCCAAACATATCGGTACTTGATATTGATGGTACGGGCCGGTACACAGGAGAGAACGTAGACTTGAAATGGATGCCATTGAGTCGTACACATCTTTCATGCCGAATAAAACGTTGTTGCGAATGCACAATCGGCGCTGGCTTTCTATACCTTGCGCTAAACCATCGGAAATACTTTTCAAGGCGTGGAAAAACTTAATATTTTCGGCCTCTTTGTTGCACATGTACCAATAGGAAGAATGGAGGCGGCAGGTATTCACTCGATCAGTGTAGCGCCTGTCCTCGTGGACCATGACAAGACTTCTCGAAACAAGGTTAATCAAACAACGAACACCATAATTCGTTGAATCCAAATCGTGTTCTAATTCGAGAAATCTCTCCGAAAGCCACAAATTTAATAGCTTGGAGAAGGGGATCTCGCAATTCTGAGGGAAAACTCCCATGTAAAGAAAACACGGTTTCAAATATTGAGGTAAGTAATTGTAACTTGGATATAGTACCTCAAACATTTGTTCATATGCATCAACAAAAACTGCATTTTGTTTATCGATAGCTACCTTGTTCCAGTACTCCGTTGTCTTTTCAGCTTCAGACAGGATCTTACCAACGGTGACAATTGTAAGAGGAAGACCTTCACAATTCTCGGCAATCTTCTTTCCAGCTTTCTCGAGTTCACGAGGGCAAGGCATTTCGTCGAACACCTTGCGTCGAAGAAGATCCCAACTTTCGTTCCCATCGAGGAAGCGTATGTCGTACTTACAATGCACGTAGCCTTATCAGCCACTTGATGCAGCCTAGTTGTGACCAACACTTGACTTCCGCGGCCATTCCTCCACGGGAATAAATTCTTCAACCGAGACAAGAGCTCCGTGTTCCATACATCATCGAGCACGATCAAGTATCTCGAATCCTGTAAAACATCCGTAATCATTTTCTCCAAGGCATTAATTTTCTCTTCTCCTCCTCCCATGGTTCGAATCTCTTCATCAACGTCACAATTCTTCACTACTTGTCGTAGAATACGGAGCAAGACACGTCCGAATTTATACTTGGGGCCTATCTTCACGAACGCATGTTTATCGAAAGAGCTCGAAATGAACGGATCTCGAAAGAGTTTATCGGCAAGAGCAGTCTTACCAATGCCGGCCATCCCGACGAGCGACACAACAACCAAACCTGCATGATTTTCCGCGAGTGTTTTTCTAATTTCCATGTACTGATCGGATAATCCAACCATTTTCTTCTCATCGTCATCATTATTATTAATATTACGGCCGCCATTGTCGTCGTCTTCATCTTCTTCTTCGTCGGGAAATGGGAAGCGTAACTCATGAATGTAGGCCGCCTTCATCGTGTTCGTCTTCTGAGTGAAGGAATCGAAATCTGGTTTCAGTTTCTGCAGATCCAATGAGAATGATGTTAGCGATGGGTACTGAATCTCTGCTTCTTTTTCTTGGGATTGTGGAGAGAGATGGGATTCGATTGCATCTTCTAATTCACAAACTGCATCTCTGATTTGTTCGTCCAAAGCATTCACCTTCTTCGTGTTGATAATGCTGCTGCTGCTAATGCTGATGCTGTCAAGTTGTTGAAGAACTGATTTTAAGGAAAGAATTTGTTGGTGCAGAAATCCTATGATTTCTGGAAAGGATTTTGGAACAATGGAAATGGTGGAAGAATCTAGGAGGCTGTCGATTGTGTATTTAAGAGAAATCACGGCAGCATAAGCCATCTCTGAATGTGAATGTGAAACTCTCTCTCTCTCTCTCTCTCTCTCTCTCTCTCTCTCTCTCTCTCTCTCTCTCTCTCTCTCTCTCTCTCTCTCTGAGATTTCACCAAACAGGAGCAGGATTCATGGTTTCACAGTAACCAGTTAGTGAAATTATGGCTTCTCAAAGATGATGATGAGACAAAAAGTCAACCATATTAGATCTTAATAAGACTTCAAAAGTAAACAAACCTACATAAAATAATAGTTTCTAACAAAGCACTTTGAAATTTATGTAAATGTCGATAAGGGTATTGGCATAATCCCACCTACATGGATGTTTCTTCTAAAAAAAGATTAACTGTGTGTATCAAACGTCAAAATATTACATTTTTGCAGATGACCCCCTTGTGCTTACATTTTTCCTCTAATTTTTGCAGATACCCACTTGAAGTGTGACAGTCGCAGTTAAGTTTGATGGAAAAACTAACGGACGCTACCCTGAACCACAGGGGGGTGAGGGCTTATGTACTGATATTACGAGCACAAAGAAGTTATGTGCAAAAGTTTATAACACAAGGAGTTAAATGCTACTAATCCGAAAGAAAAAAGAAAATTGTCAAGTTGAACTTTAAATATTTAGCCAAGTGATTGATGTAATTGGTGGTTAGTGCAAGGTCTCATTTTTTCCAAAGGTGCACTTATGATATTGGCATGGAATACTGATTATGAATTCCTCTTAGCATTTGAAAGAAGCAAAACCGTATAGCAAATAAAGAAGGTAAGATTGTTATACACAACTAACTTTCAAATTCTTTTGTCACAACCCACGTGTTGCATGTGCCATCACTATTCTACTTACCAATCTCTACATTAAAATAAAATCAAATTGTATCCCACATCCTACATTATATATACACACACACACACAAAATATGTGATATATATTGTCATGATCATAATTAATAATAGTTACAAAAAAAAAAGAAGAAGCATAATTCGAGTATATACAATGGATACCACTTTTAGTTTGACCATATGCACCACCATATTAGGTTTGCTTCTAATTCTATATTCTTTATTCCAAAAGAAGCACGACGGCAGGGGACCACTGCCCCCGGGCCCACGGCCGTGGCCGATCGTAGGCAACCTTCCGCAGCTGGGGCCCAAGCCTCACCAATCGATGGCGACTCTAGCTCAGGTTCACGGGCCCCTCATGCACCTAAAGATGGGGGTCGTCCACGTGGTGGTTGCCGCCTCTGCGGGAGTGGCGGAGCAGTTCTTGAAGGTGCACGATGCCAATTTCTCGAGCCGCCCCCCAAACTCCGGCGCAAAGTATATGGCTTATAATTACCAGGACTTGGTTTTTGCTCCGTACGGGCCGAGGTGGCGGATGCTCCGAAAAATTTGCACCCTCCACCTCTTCTCCACCAAAGCCTTGGATGACTTTCGCCACGTCAGACAGGTTATTATTATTGAATCATACATAATACATTAGTTAATTAGTAATTTTTAATGAATGATTATACAATTAAAAAAGAAAAGAATCGTTTCTACTAATGCATTTGTAGTTTGAAAATACAAATTTTATTCAATACGTTATAAAGATACGGGAAAAATACAATTTTCAAGCCTCAAGTTTTCTCTAATTTTACATTTGGTCCATCATGTTTCAAAAATCCAACATTTTTAGTCATTTCTGTCAATTTTTCGTTAAAACTAACAGAATCAAACGTGTTTCCATCACTACCGTAACTGATGTAGTAACGATAAACTGATGGAAATTACCAAAGTATCAAATTATTGAAACATGAGGGACTAAATGTGTTTTTGTGAATATGGAGACCAAATGTGAAATGAGAGAAAACTTGAGGGGTGAAAATTGAAAATTTCCCATATCAAAGGCACACGAATTTGTAATAAATAAATTTTTGTCATCATCTTTAATTTATCAGGAAGAGGTGGGGATCCTCACGCGCAGTCTAGCAAGTGCAGGAAAGACAGCGGCGAGTATAGGCCAAATGCTGAACGTGTGTACCACAAACGCAATAGCGCGTGTCGTGCTGGGGAGGCGAGTGATCGGGTACGGGTGCGGCGGCGGCGCTGATGCCAAGGCGGAGGAGTTCAAGTCCATGGTGGTGGAACTCATGGTACTGGCCGGTGCGTTTAACATAGGTGAGTTTATCCCACCACTCGAAAGGTTTGACTTGCAAGGACTGATCGCCAAGATGAAGAAACTCCACGCGCGCTTTGACGCGTTCTTGACCGCAATCCTTGAGGAGCACAAGATCAAGGGCTCAGATGGCACGGCGGGGGAACACGTGGACTTATTGAGTACGTTGATTTCCTTGAAAGATATTGATGGTGAGGGAGGAAGGCTTAGTGATGTTGAAATCAAAGCATTGCTTTTGGTAATTTTTTTTCTCTTCCTTCTTTTAATTCTTTAGTGCTCTTTTAATTCTATTATTTTTTCTCGGGTAAATTACAAACGCCCCCTGTGGTAAGACTTATTAACGATAAAACCCCTCATTTTTTCGTAATTACTTCCAGCCTCCTGCAATTTGTAAATTTCTTAAATTAACACCATTTTATAGGGGGATGAATTCAAGAAATTTACAAACCGTAGGGGATCAGATATAATTTTTCAAAACGAAGGATTTTTTTGTAATTACACCTTTACCTTAGGAAGGTAGTTGTAATTTAAACTTTTTTGTAAAATTTGTTGCATAGAAAATTTTTTATTTAAAAAAAAAAGGTAAATTACAATCATCGCCCTAAGGTAAGGTCTATTTATAAAGAAAAATAAACACCTCATTTTTCCATAATTACATCCATCTCCTCGTAATTTATAAATTTCTTATATTAACACCCTTTTGTAGAGGGTGGTTGGATGTAAGAAATTTACAAACCGTAGGATGCTAGATATAATTTTTCAAAAGGAAGATGTTTTTCGTAACTACATTATACCTCAGGGAGGCGGTTGTAATGTACCAAAAAAAAAACACAACTAACTAACTAACTCTAACAAAATACTATTTCAGAACTTATTTGCAGCAGGTACAGACACAACATCCAGCACAGTTGAATGGGCTCTAGCAGAACTCATCCGCAACCCAAAAATGATGGCCCAAGCCCAACAAGAGCTCGACTCGACAGTCGGTACAGACAGGCTCGTCATCGAATCGGACCTGCCTCAACTGACGTACCTCCAAGCCATAATAAAGGAGAACTTCCGCCTCCATCCTTCGACCCCACTCTCCGTGCCGAGAATCGCGCACGAGAGCTGCGAGATCAACGGATACTTTATCCCAAAGGGCTCAACACTTCTCGTCAATATTTGGGCCATAGCCCGTGATCCTAACATATGGGCCGACCCGTTACAATTTCGGCCCGACCGGTTCTTGCCGGGCGGGGAAAAGGCTGATGTGGATGTCAGAGGAAATGACTTCGAATTGATGCCGTTTGGGTCGGGCCGTAGAATTTGTGCGGGTTTGGGCCTGGCGGTACGTACGGTCCAATTGTTGACCGCGACTTTAATACATGGTTTTGATTTTGAATTGGGCGATGGAAAGTTGGGTCATGAGCTCAACATGGAGGAAGCCTATGGACTAACATTGCAACGGGCCGAGCCGTTGATGGTTCACCCAAGGCCGAGATTGGCGCCTCGTGTTTATCAAGCACAAGTTTGATCCTCATCTCAAACCTATGATATTGCATGAAATTCGCATTTCACCGGATTCTATTTTTTTTTTTAAGTGATGTAATTAAAGAAAATATATACAGTAAAACCTCTATAAATTAATAATATTGGGAGCATAATATTTTATTAGTTTAATAAGATATTATTATATCGAATACTTAATAATTTATTAATTTAAAGAGGTTTTACATATGATCTTTAAGTCTCCAAGTCCAATGTACTAGTTATAATATATTTGGCCGTCTTAGCTTGGAGAAATGTGCAACAGGAGGATAGAGCAAATTGCTTTCGACACTGTAAAATACGTTCGACGAATCTAACTGGCTCAAGTGATTTAAACTATGTAAATTCTAGAGAAAACATTCGTGAGCTTGAGAACTTGATTACATGTATGCATTATTAGCACAAAATGGATGTGAGTTATTTGCTAGATTATCTTGTGAAAATAATGAATGTCACGAGGTTTAAAGCAGTGAAGAAACTGTGGTAGATACGATTCAAAATCCTGTCGATGACGAAGTTGTGGATAATTCAATAGTTTTGGAACCGGTCACTCGGAAAGAAGCATTGCAAGCGGCAACAACTCTTGACAACTTTTTGTTGCAATATGTTGGGTGCTAAATACCAACACGCAAGTGTATGTATCGCAAACAAGTAGTAAAGTAGACTCGTGAGAGTCGGATGTCGATCCCACAGGGAATACGCAAATTATTTAATCCTAAGTACCAAATTTTAACAATTACGATTTTTATCCAGCCTACGCAAGTTTGTCAAATTAATTAACTAAATAAATGAAACTAATTAAGAAAGCAATTAAATACGAGAAAATATCAATATAAAACGGATCTAGGATTTTATCTTCCCCCTATGCAAGAATTGCTCACCCAAAACCCCTCAATTATGAAATATATGATTCATGATTATTAACCCGAGACACTAATCTACTCATAATCCGCTGTCGCGTGTATTATGAGTCTATTATTCATGAACGATTCACTATATGTCTATGCAAACCAATTATAAATAAAGCATTAACTAACAAGTCTCGTAAATGGCTACCTAATGTGATATCTGTATGTCTACGACACCACATGCAATTGACACACTCATCCGGTGAAAACTACTCGAAGGCTCTTATACTTACCGTCTAATTATCAAAATAGCTCTGTCGAGTCAATCCCAATAATCACAAATAAAGCAGATAAATTGATCAAGTTCATGCACTAACAATCATAACAAGTATAAGAAATAATCATAAAATCATAATTGCATAATCTCAAGAAAACGGGTTCACAATTCCCACATAGGGTTCCAACAAAATCCTAGATTAAAAACTTAGCTACTCATAACGAAAAACATAATAAAAGTAATAAAAATCATAGATTAAGAAAAGTTAGGTGAAAGAAGAATTATGATGAAGAGTTGTCAATTCTCCGTCTTCGATTCTTCGTTCTCTCGCTCCTCTCGCTCCAAAGTTGTGTCAAAAGTCTTCTAATTCGTGCTTGGTTTGGGCTTAAATAGATGTCCCAACTTGGTAGATGATTTTAGGTTTCCTTGTGTGATTAAAAGTCCAAAATTGTCTCCCGCGGGTGTTGGCACGGCCGCGCGAAAATCAGTGCAATTCTCGCACGGCCGCGCGAGAATCGCCAAACCTTCTGTCCAAATTCAGCATTTGGCACGGCCGTGCCAAAAATAGGCTAATTTTGGCACGGCCGTGCGGGCCTGTTTTCAGCCAATTTCAGCATATTTTTTATTATTTCACTTTTGGTCCATATTTTCTCCAAATTTGCAGTTTTGACCCCAAACTTTTCCAATTCTTCAATTTATACCTAAAATACAATAAATCAACTTTTTAAGCACCAATTATCGTTAAATCACACCAAAAACTCAAATAAAAAGGTACAATAAAGTATAAAAATATATACTTAACACAATACCAACAATGCACCAACTTTTAAGTGCAACGAGGAGATTTAAAGATGAACTCAATATAGATTTGAAGTTCAACAAAAACAAATGACTATAGATTCATTTTTTACTAGACAATCTTAGAATTTGAAGTATTTTAGTAATTATTAATTTTTAGTTTCGTTGGGACCAATATATATACACTCGGATTTCAAAAAAATTATCACCTTATTATTTTATCGATTGAGGTCCAAATTTGTACTGGTCCCGAATTGGGACCAAACAAATTATTAATTTTATCGAGATTATTAATTTATAAAGACATAGAAAACTGTATATTCTCAAATTTCCTAGCATTAAAATCTTCAATGATTTATATAGTTCACTAGACATGATAGATAAGAACAATTAAGACATAGAAAGGTGAAAATGATCGCAATTGAAAATAGATAAGGTAAAATCACATTCAATGATATTACAGGAGGTAAGTAAAATCAAGCAATATTCTTCTAGTGCAAGTGCAATATGTACTTCTATATAGCATGGATCTGAAAACGAAGATATGAGAACACAAAAAAACAACTAGTCTCAAAAATGGGTATACAGAAACTTGGGGAACGTATAATATTAAAAATATAGGGGCATATTTATAAATATGCTCTATTATATATATATATATATATATATATATATATATATATATATATATATATATGCAAAATAAATATTATTATCAACTATCAATTTGCAATTGATCATTAAATCATATAAATAATTAGGGAAGCACAAAAATATTTAGAAATTTGCTATTCAAATATGTTCTTTCAGAAATTATAAAATGACCCATAAAGTGTACGACATGTGTCCTTTGAGTGTCAGACACCAAACGATCCAAATCACAGATACATTACGAAATTGAAGTTTCTGTGCTACATAATTGCACTTCAATATGAAAAATTTATTTCCATAGTATAAATGTACTTTTCTTTTAGGGGCAAAAGTATAAATTATCCAATTCATAGGGAGCGAAGTGCCAAAACGTCTTTTTGTTTTTCCCCAATAGCGAAAAAAGAAAAAACACTACAGAAGCAGACGAGATTCCACTTCCATTGATCATTTTCATTGATATCTCTCTCTCTCACTCTCACAAATCTTCTGATAAAATTCGCTGTGAAATTCATCTGATGATTGATTGATGAATAATTCTCTTCTGATAAATTCGATTCGATGATTGTAATTAGTATAAATTGAGTTGAATTCCACGGAATGTCAAACCCTAATATAACCCTCTCGATCGCTTCGGTGGCCATTAACATCACGGAACCACCTGTGCGCAGCAGAATCGGTAGGGTTTCGGAATGGTACAGCTACGGAAGCGCGGGGTGCAACAGTTTCTGGCGCGAAGCTGCCCTGGTTGTACCCTCGATTTTGTTGGTGTTGTACCTAGGGTTCCAGGCGAGGCGCAATCTGAAGAAGCTCAGCCACCGCAAGTCTTACGTCATGATTGCGTACTACGCAATCCTATGGTTGTCCGCGCTTCTCAATTTGGCATGGTCGATTCTTCAGGTTGAATTTAATCTTGTTTTTGGGTATTTATTTAAATGGTTATTTGAGCTGGTATTTTATATGGGTTTCTTGTAGATCTTAGGTTGTATTTTATATACTTTAGTATTAGGGTTTAATTTTGTTATTTCAATAGCATTTTTGTGGTAAATTTATGTTTAATTCTTAAATTTGCAATATGTGGGATTCATTTTATTTGTTATTTCTGACGGTGGTTTTAAGCTTCAGTAGTAGAATTTTGAAGTCTAATAGTAGAAGTTAATACTATAGTTACTTATTTAGTATTTGAAGACTTATGTTAGTCTTGTTTCTCTATACTTAGGTCTCGTTTGGTTGGGGAGATTAGTCATTATTAACGATATAATTGGACTCTGTTTGATGTTTGATATCTCCAATAACTTGCCAGGTCGACCCGCAAATATTATGGTATCATGGCTTATCTTGCCTTCTAGCCATGTTTTTTATTGGATCTTCCAAGGTCCAATAATACAATTGAGTTTCGTTAGATTATTTAATCTTATCTTGGCAACCAAACGAGGCCTTAGTTATTTTCAGGGGGTAGTTTTATACTGAGTTGCACAATGATTTATCGATTTAACTAATAGATCACGAGTGAATGAAAACAGAACGAGCCATGAATAAAATTTGATTGCATCAAAATTATGAAATATAAGAATCTTTGTCTAGTGGGGGAAAGGCTTCTGAAGAGCACGACATTTCTACTGTTCGGTCAGTTTTTGGATTTGTCCTAGTTATTTAAATTTTATATTCGTTGATGAACTATACTGTAATTGAGTTCTTTGTTTTGCTCACTCTATATTTTTTCATAAAGAACTACATAGGAAACTTGAATTTTTGGAAATTTGAAGATTTATATCGTAGGTTTCTCGGGTTCTGTTATTCCAAGAAGAAGAAACTTATCTTCTTCAATGATAATCTTCATCTTCTCTAGAAAATATGAAAATATTGTTTGAATAATGGACATCGTTACTATAGTAGGGTTTGAGACTCCAAATATCCATTTTTTTGTTTTTGTATGACAGGGATGGCAATGTGCGCCGGGGAAGGTGGTTGGTTGGAACCTGTTGTCATTATTCACAGAGTGTGGAATGCTATCTTTAGAAATTAGCGTAGTTGCATTTCTGCTCCAGGAGAATTATGCCAGTGGATTAGAAGCATTAGCACCCACTTTCCTAGCTTCAGGTTCCGTTGTTGCTGTTGATATACTTGTCCAGGTAATGCATCTCATTTTCCTAATTCTTTAAGCTCGTAAATTATATATGGATATGGAAATAAATGAAAGAAGATGTAGAAAGGTGGAAAATTGTCTTGGAGTTACTGATAAGTCGGAGGAAGGGGATGAGAGGTTTTTAATAGTTACAAAATGGAAATCAGTCGACAATAGATTCTCTAGCTTTTTCATGGAAACTTTTGTATGATTTCATTCTCTTTCCCCCTGGACCCCAATTCCAAAATTACTATCTCGTCCCTGTCCATCTTTTAGAACTATTCAGTCGACTGAATCAACTTTTGTGCTTACGCAGGCTATTTTCATATTTGGATTCGGAGTGCCTCTCTTCATTAATGCAGAATCTAGACACTGGGGAAAGTGGAGTGTGCTGTTTATTCATACTTTGGTGCTTACAGTAGTCTACTGCTACATATTGTTTTTCCACTATTCGAAGTGGAGAGACAAGTTGCCACGTGAGTTTAAGCTTTTCTGAAATATATTGAGTTCTTTCACTTCTTTATTTTGTCGATTTGTCCTCGGTAACTTGCTAACACTGCTTTGAATCCGAAAACATATTGTAGCAAGGCCATCATTCTACAACTATGTTGTCGTCATGTTTATAATAAACGTTATGGCATTGTTTGCTAGTGGACTGGCTGGAATCGGTTTTGGCTTTGGACTTTGGTATGCATCTTTTCCTCTCACCAAATTTTAAAAGAATATATAATCAAATACCACGCACTCATAATTATTGAACTTAATGCTATGCCAGGCTGTACAACTTCATAATTATCTGCCGTCACTCCCTTTATCTTCCTTTCCTCTACGTAACTTTCCTGGCCGATTTTTTCCAGGTATAATTGTGTTTTTATTGTTTACTCGGTTAAGAGAGTCTTGTGCACATCTTTTATGCAAATTGGTTTTTGATTCCAATACATTTGCAGGAGGAAGATTGGCTATTGGATAATGCATACTACTCGGAGATGAAAGATGCTGGTTTTTTCGATACGGAGTGGGATTAGCCAAGTGTCTACTTATTAAAATGCGACATGAGAACTTTTGGATAGACTTGTATATAATCAATCATCTCCAGTTAAACTGCATCCGTTAAGTGCAATTTCCATACGAACTAAAGATGTAGTGTCTGCAGTAGAACTGTAAATGCCTGTAACAGTTATGTGAATTTGAATAATGCTACGTTCCGTCCCTTGCCGTAACTGGTACATTAGCTACTTGATGCAGCACCAGACTCATTATGTGGACTCCCCGTTGTTAAAATAATTTCGACAATGGAAGTAAAGAGAATGCAATGCTGAAAATGTACTTGGTGAATTTAGAATAGGAAATTCAGTATGAATCGAGTAAACCGATTAGTAGAATGCCCCTTAAAAATTCAGAACTCAAGCAAACAAATGTATCTGTTAGTTTCCTCTAGTTTAGGGTTTATATCAATTCTAATGTGAGTGCATTAATTCTGATAGGGTTGTTTAATAGGGCGGGAATAGAAGGATGGAAAGAGAATATATGAAATAGCTAAGAATAGGAAATGACCCTTCAATTCCTAGACAAATGACTTTCAAACTTCATCATAAATGATTCATTAAATTAGTCCAATTCTTAGATGGTAATTCCAACAAGGGAATTTTGTCAGTCCTTTGGTACTTTGACCGGCTCCTAGACACTTAAGACACTTCAAAACACTTAAGGAAAAAAAAACACTAGACTACTTATATTGTCCTTCCCTTATTATTTGATGTTTTAGGCATGAAAAAATTTCCCCTCTCAGAATTCCAAAGAAAATCTTTTTTTTTTAATTGTCCATTCCTACCCTTACTATTGATTTTTAGACTCTTTAATGTTACAACTATTTTTTTCTTTGTTTAAGAAATACTTAATGAGAAAGTAACGATATTAAAGAAAGGTAAAAAATCTAAACAGAATAAATAAATCTCACGTAAACACAAAAATGAAGACTGAAGAATCCATGGAAGATGAAGATTCCATGAATTTAAAATTCAAACATTTGTTAGGAGAAATCCCAAACAAGAGATTTTGATTTGAATATCGTTGCAAATCGAAATTTTAATTTGAATAAATTTCCGGATGAAGGAGAAGAAACTATACAAAACAAAGAAATTCGGCAAGTCGTTACGATCGTACTGAAAATTTATCTGCCCAACTTCTATTGAGATTTCAATCCATCTCACCTCTTTTCTTTTTTCTTTTCTTTTTTTAAGTGAAGAAGAAGAAAATGGTGCAGATCGTAGAAGATCTCTATGGTACTTATGCAGTCGAGAATGAATGCAATCATTAGTGACTACGAGATTATTATTTTTCTGCAAACCTTTTTTTTTTCTTTTTCTTTTCTCTGTTTCCTAGGAGACGAGTTGATGTATATATATGAGGTGCTAAATTCATATCAAGGCGAATGCATTTTTTTTTCCCATTAGTTATATTTTAGAAATTTTTTAGCTAAGTGAATTAAAAAATATTCAACAGTAGCATGGTGCTTTATGAAGCAGAATACTATGTCAAGTAAAAAAGTAAATATTGATGCTTATGTAGTCAAGGCACTTTAAGAAAAAAGACCTCAACATTGCTGATGTTGCTCAAAAGGGAGTATATTTTGACGTGCACAACATCAAGCAACAAATGAAAATTGCATAACTTAGAAACATAAATTATCCTAAATAATTAAGAACTTCTTGTACTAACTCATGATCACATTTCAGGTGAGTTGGAAGTTGGCCCTCTCTTTTTAGCATTGCTTTACTCATATGTGGGATCTTGAACTTATTAGAACCTTTTCCTCGCATTATCTCTATCATGCACGATTGCAATGTTAGGAATATAATGTTGGACTTTCTCGCCGAAAAACCTTCAAATGCCCGAACAACTGCATTAATAAGTTCATCAACATTTTTAGGTGACTCCTTGTATTGCAGTGATTGAATTGCACTGAAAAATCTAAGATCTAAAACATTCGATTCCTGAGAGTTTGGAGGTTGACACATCAAACGAATATCAAATCCATCTTCTTTCGCTACTCGACAAAACACAATATCATTTTGGGGAATATTTGTTCTTGCATTGTCTTGTTGAAAGAATATTGGATATCTCGAGTCTTCTCTTGGCCATTTTTCCTTGATGTTGGTATGACCTTTTCAATCAAGAATGACCTTATAACGTCCTTCTTCACCGAGACAATTGGTTTCGTCTTTAGTGTACCCGCAACTCTATTCACACTGTTTCGTTTAGCCGTCTCTCGTGTTACAAGAGGAAACACGCATATTTTTCCCGAGAAAACCCATTTCCTTGTTCATCAAACCTTGGACGAGCAATAACAACTAAAAACATAACCTTGCCAATGAAATTTTTACTTTTACAAGTACATATCGGGTCTTCTTCCTCGGGCAATACATAGTAATGCTCTGATTTTTTTGTCAATTGGAACCATTTTTCATAGATACGAATGATGTTATACATTCCACGAAAAATTGGATCATGGTGATATCACCCTCAAGCATTGACAAACAAAATTGTAGTCGAGATCTTTTGTTTTTCTCCGTTACAAACGGTTTTATAGCATTTGAATGGCGTCGTAACTCTCGTGACTTTAAACGTCTTAACAATGTGCTTTTTGCTATGTTCAAAGAACAAGCTAAAGACTCCAAAGTTGTCCGCCGATGCAGAGGAATCCCACGAAATTGATCCATGTTTATTTCAATTCTCTTTCGACCAAAATTTTTTGTCTTTTTATGCTATACATCATCATGTGCACCTTTTCTTGATTGTCTCCAAATACGTGGCACAGTTCGAATCGAAACTGAAAATTGTGACGCCACCATTTTTCTCACTCCTTTCTTCGAACTTCCATTGATACTTTTATGTTGCAACACGTTATATATAGCTCTACGCTCTTCATTGTTTAAATGTTTCACTTTCCTTGTAGCACTTGGTATCTGGAAAGATTCTTCGTTTGCATTTTCATCCTTTTTACAAAGTAGAAAGAAACAAGGCAGAACAAAAAAATATGAGCGCAGAATGAATATTTTTCATGAAGAATACGTAAAGGACAAGTACATATATTGAAGACATCTTCTAAGTTATCATCTCTGAAAGTTTGTAATCCCATCTCCAATGATATGTCATGTTCCACGAACGGTTCCCGGTTTAAATCTAGCAATGAACGATCCACTAAAAATATTTCATTCTCTGGAGAATATAGATCAACATTTGGGTTGTCAACAAAATCTGCAGCAACAACATTGAGGTCTGGCAAAACAAATTTTTTTTCTTGTCTCATACTTTCATTATTTACGTCACAATGTGATATCTCTTTATGTTGATTTAGTTCAACAAAAACCCTCATTTTACTTTAATATTGAAGGCTGAAGTTAAACCTTCTTTTATAGATTAATTTTGGTGGGAAAATTTCAATCTTGGATGATCGAAAATTTTAGTTTTCAAATTCAAACTAGGTATTTAAAAAATTTCAGCTTGATTTCTTATAGGTGAAAATTTACGTCTTAATTTTAGCGGGGCTTAAATTTTCAAATGAGCTTCTGTATAGAATCAATTTATTTTTTAGTTGAAGTGGAATAGTTCATTGTTCGCAGAAGGATACACATCAAACCTTTAATATGGAATTAAGTTCTCAACATTAAAAGTTGAACTTATTCCAATATCAAAAGGTAGTTCCAACACATGCATTAGATCCTACTCGTTTTAGAATTTTAAAAGTCCAATACTACGAGCTTGTGACTTCTCTGCAATTCCTTGAGGGAATCGCTCAGATCTTACTCGAACCATGACAAAATCCCCTACTGAAAATTCTCTAAATGTACGATGAGCATTGGCAGACCTTTGATACTTTTCATTACTTTCATTAATTCTACAATTAATCTCAATATGATAGTCATGAATGTGTTGTGCGAATCCATTGGCAGACTAGATGGCCTATTTGAAACTGACATTGGTATGAGATCTATGGGAGCTCTAGGTTTATGACCATAGACTACCTCAAACAGACTCATGATTATTGACCTATTAATTGAATTATTATATTCAAACTCTGCAATAGGTAAAATAGAATGTCATGACCTGATATGCTCACCAACTAGGCAGCACAACAGATTACCCAAGCTTCGATTTACCACCCCCGTTTGTCCGCCAGTTTATGGATGATAGGCCGTAGAGAACTTCAATTTGGTGCCCATCATATGCCAGAGTGTTTTCCAAAAGTAGCTCATGAATCGAACATCTTGATCAGATACTATTGTCTTGGGCAATCCATGCAATGGAACAACTTCAACCATGAAAACTTTTGCCACTTTAGAAGCATCAAAAGTCTTGGAACATGGAATGCAGTGACCCATTTACGAAAACGATCCACAACTATAAAAAATGAATCATGCATCCCTAAAGTTTTAGGTAATCCGAGCACAAAATTCATGCTAATGTCTTGCCAAAGAGCATGTGGGACTCAAAGTGGGTGTACAAAACTGTATTTTGCTTTTTATGCTTTGCCAATTGATAAGTGCGACATGATTCAACCATCTTAGCAACATTGTTTTAGACTTGGCCAATAGAATTGTCCTTCTAATAGGGCAATGGTTTTGTCCCTGGAAAAATGACCAGCAACACCCATCATGCAACTCCATAATTAGAAATGATCTTAGGGACGACTGAGGAATTGCAAAGCTTCGAATTCTTGAACTTAAAACCACCTTACAAAAATAAACTCTGTGCTTCTTGATTGATCTTCCAAGAGGGCAACATATAAATGTCCAAAATCTGGACATTCTCGATAATCTTCCTTTAACTTTTCCAACCCGATAACTGTTAGAGTAGGTGACCAACAAGCCAACTTGTGGCTGTGGTCTTTCGTATTTATTATTGTAATAAACGAACCTTTATTCGTATTAATGATAAAACACATTGGCATTCTATATCTTTGTCCCTTTGTCACAAGCATAGATATAGTCCTTACAGTTATTACAAGTACTAGTAATTGATCGTTAGGATCGTGAGATATTTACTTAAGTATTATAACTGTTAAACGTGTTCCTAGTCGAAGGGTTACGCCACTAATGAGGATATCGGCCTTTCCCATTAAGACTAGCACTTAGTGTATGTGTACTGCATCTCATCAGTAAACGGTATTGTGATATCGGCATGCACAAGTGGGTGCTCGTAAGTTGACGAGTTCACTGAACTCCCTCACCCTAGAAATCTCTAAGTGGTTCCCAAT